ATTCAGTGATTTTAACGAATTTCGTCCTTCGTTTTGATTGAATCGTCCTTATGTAACATAAAAAGGTCATAAAAAGGTACTCCGGAATATTCCGGAGTGGACGGAAAGAGGTAGGGCCATTTTCCCGTGAGTTTTTTTTCCATTTGATTAGCTAGGCAAATCATGTTTTTAAATAGCCCGATAGATACTAATTATAGTATATGAAAACACGTCACATCATCTATTTTCATACCTTGAACAGGTATTCCTACAATAATCAAGGCCAAGACTATTGATTTTTTTTATTAACAAAATCAATATGTAAATGCCACTGAGAAGCATTAAAATATGAATTATCAACTAATAGATATTCAAAATTAGTTTTGTATTAAAAAAAACATGCTGCTTCGGTTAGCGTGTTAATGTTGGTAGGTGATTTGTAGCGTACAGTATTTCATAGCTTTGTTTAACTTAAAACTAACAAAATATTAAACAAGAATGTGTCCATAGTACACGGAGGCTCCACTCGTACTATCATCTATGTTCAGTGAACTATGAAATTGGGATAAAAACTGTAATTTAGCATTAAAATGAGAAAGATCATACCATAGGGATCATGTGTACTAAGTTTCAAGTTGGTTGGACTTCCACTTCATCAAAAACTACCTTGACCAAAAACTTTAACCGGAAACGGGACAGACGAACGAACGAACAGACGGACGAACGAACAGACGGACGGACAAACGAACGAACGGACGCACAGACCGAAAAACTGAATGCCCCTAAGTGGCGCCTAAAAAAGGGGGTTAAATATAAATACAAGAAACATTTAATAATCTAATTATCTGATATAAATCAGCTAATCTGATTAAAGATCGGTCTCTGTTTTAATGCCAAGAAGCCAAAAAATATCGGACGCATTTAACTGGGATGTTGTTTTTTCTCAATCTGGATGTATCTATATCTATACACTGTTCCATCTTTTAAGGTTTACCGTCTATATGAACCGGACAACGCTCAGTACACCAGTTGGTACTAGAACGGCTTGCGTAACAAATTTAAGCACGTGTAATCTGGTCTTTTCTGCATGGCATTGTACCAAATGGATCGACCCTATGTTGTGATACAGATTCAACACTTTCTTGATGTTTTACCTACAGTCACGATTGGTAGTGTAATTGATTTTTTCTGTGGTGTTGTTTCATTTTCTGATGACATAGGTTCCGGTGTAGGGACGGTGGTACAATGTAACAATGCCAGTACTAATATCTACACAGTTGGTGGATTGGCGATAAAATTATTGTCTGCATTTGTTACATATCATACCATTTTCTAAAACGTTCTTGTTTAAGATTTAGAAAAAATATTTTTGTTGTTTTGAAATTTTTCTGATATGGCCTTTTTTCGTTATGTGTATAACACACAAAACATTTGGGCTTCATTGCTATATAATCAATTCCCGTGTTATTGGTTATATATATGTATAAGCACCTACTTTAGTGTGACTCTTTAAATTAAACAGACATCCGAAAAAATGTGATAGAAACATAACATTTTAATATTTCAACATAAAAAAATGAGAAAAATTAGCGTGAGATTAGAACCCCATCTTAAAAACAAACCATTATTTACAGTTTTAAGCGCTACCGATGGAGCCAGGGCGACTGTTGTGAACAGAGTCGATATTAAGCAGCTATATAGTTAAAATTTAGTGATGTTCCACTTTTTATTAAAAAAGTTGTTTTTTAGGTATTAAGGACACACTAAACCAATTTCATTTTTTAGGGGAAAAGTTGTATAAATTACAACAACAACAAAAACATAACATTGTTTTGGTTTGAAGTGTCCTTCTAGGGGGATTCCCTGTTTTTACAACCTAAAAACACGGTAAATTCCGCATATTTGACTTTCATCCTTTTTTGGAGGTTAAAATAACTATTTTCCAGACATAACATAATACATAAAAATCGAGATATTGACCAAAAAACATTTTTATTTCATGTTTTCATCGTAAATTTTATTCTTTCAGCACTTTTTGAAATTGGCCCTTCTGTGAAAAAACTTCAGGGGAAATTGGCCCTACCTCTTTTAATAATGGGCATGGTAAGTGGCTCCGGAATATTCCGGAGTGGTCGGAGTCCAGATCCAAGGTGATTCAGGCTGACTCCGGAATATTCGGGAGTGAGGGAATGGCGATCCAGTGGGAGGGAATCGGGATTCAGCGGGAGGGAGGATCCCTAATTTGATATATAATTTTAAAGTTATAAATTTGGAACGTGAAGGACGAACAGACGGTTGCAACGACCGGAAAATATAATACCCATGTATCATAATAAGGCAAGAAGTAAATAAATAACCGATTTAGTAAACTGTTATAATTTTTTTTTGAAGCTGTATCCTCATAACCATTTTGATAGAATTGTATGGAAAGATGACAGAGAACTATCGGAAAGACGCACCAGTAATCAGAATTTCTCTCTCTGACAAAATTATCTAAACATAAACTTTAGAAGCTTCAGATTTCATTATTTTCACTTTTTAAAACTTAAATTTGATTTAGTAATATTAAGAATTCACCCTTTCAGCCTTTAACAACTATATATTTGGGTCAATTGAAATGACCAGTTAATGATCGGTGCATTTGAATACCGGTAACTGGATTAGTTATTCCTTTAAAAGGTTGTTTGTCAAAAAGGTCATACAGAATTTAATAACAAAATATGTAAAAAGCAGATAGGCTCAACTTTTAAATAACATCATGTATGTGTATTCAACTAGTAAAAAATGCATGTGGTCTATGCTCCCCTCCGTCATGCTGCAATGCAAAAGGCCGACATGTGTTCAAATATGTTGGTTATGTGGAATATTGTCATTTTATTGGAAATCTCTGCTGCTGCTACTTAATCTCTTTCTAAACTCTACACCCATCCTATTTTGTCTAATATCAGACAAGTGACCTCTGACGTACTGTTACAAGGTCTTAATATCTAACGAAGAAGGACTTTTGAAGGACTGAAGTACTGTGACAAGGTCTACTCTTGTAGTGGTCTAATAACAATATGAATTCTTTAAACTCAACAGATTTATTTTTCTCAATTAAAACTGCAGCAGTAGTGTACAAATTTAGGTTTGAAAGTAACATTACGTTTAAAAACATTTTATAAAAAAAAATTGGTACAGAAGGAAATCGTTCACGGTTTAATTTCAAGAGACAAAATTAGAAAATAAATCATTTTATTGTTCAAAAGAACCTGTCTGACTGTTTAGTACCTTTGTAGGAATTATATGCTTTAAACTTAAAAGAATAAACGGAATTGTTTCTCAAAAGATAGGACCCGAATAATGCAGCTTCCGTATAAATTCAGTTCTCTATTCGAAGACAGAAGAAATGATACACGATTGTCCTATATCCTTATGAACTGTATTAAAGACACTACGCAAAAGGCAAGGTTAAACTCTTACCATTGCATAGACAAGGAAGGTTAACAACCCATGACTTACTTTGCAAAAATCTTTTCATAAGCAATACACCTACATGAATCTACAGTTCCTTTTTCTTTTACTTCCTGGAGGGAGCCCGATAAATATCAAACTATTAAGACTAAGTTTTAATTTCAGTCAAATTTATTTTGTTATTCACAATCTCATGCAGTCTTATCAAGTATAATATATCATGAAAGCATGTCAATCATGACCTTAGCCATTATCTCCATAGTGTTTGACATCATTTTAACAAATTTGACCTCTTTAATAAGAGATATGGCCAATTACCCTGTATTTCAAGGGTCAAAATCAGAAAGTTGTTTGAATATCAAAGAATCCTGTTTTAATATAAATATTTTTCAACATAATGTTTATTTACATAAAAACAAAATGTCCTCCATTCGGCGCTACATATTGCCGATTAACATGATTAATTTATTAAAACACACTGCAAAGTTTACCTGTTTTTCTAAAATATTGTTACGAATGACACCAGAAAACAATTAATTGATTTACTTCCGATAGCATTTTGTTATCCATATTATATATATTTTATATACTAGATGATCGAAATTTTTCAAAATTAAGCAGTTTTAAGTCTTTTAGTACTGATATTTTTTCTATATTAGTAATAATCCATATCATTGTTTTACCTGAAATAACACGAATCTTTAATGTAACTGTTAATTTTAATGACGATTGAAAGACTTGGTGAAAGTTACCATGTTGATGTTTGTTTTTACTCTGACTCATACTGTGTTGGTCGCATAACTGCGTATGCTTACTCTTCCAAAGCATTCAATATCTGCTCCAATGTTGACATGAATTCAAAATCCAAATGTCATTATATGTCCCGGGTTCTTTGTTAATATAGTATGTATCCAAATATAAATTTGTATCGGCCGTTTTTATCGATGTTCAAATTTGTGTAAATTTAATTTAGTAGTATCCTACGCTACTCACAAAGAGAAGCATCCTTCAAGGTAAATATTATCATTTTCAAACCTTTTTTTTAAAATTTTGTTGAGGTATTGTGTACGACGAAAATAAAATAAATGTGTGGTTTTCCATCTTTCGTATGTTTTAGTTGTTTTTAAAAGGTGTTATTCGTCTAACAAAGCGACATAACTCAGGTCCATATTAGTGATAACTAACTGTAGTCGTTCTCTTTCTTATCGGTATCGTATAGAAAAAAATGAAACGAAAATGGAATCAATTATAATTGTTTTTATGATATTCAGCACCTATGTAAAGGAACAGAATGATACAGTTTGAATGGTCATTATGTATTCTGTATACAAAACGCTGTTTATTTACACCATTTGGTATTCCTTTTTGAAACTGAAAATTCATTTTGAAAGTCCACATGCACCCGTCATGTTGATTGTGGACTTTCTTTTATTAGTTTCACATGTTACAGTGTGTGTTTTACACATGTAATCCGGGTTCGTTCGGTATCTTCTACGCGTTTGTTATTATCTATGAGTGAACTAAATAAACTATTATGTATTTCATTATAAGTGTCAAGAGATCTTATCTTAAATGATCTAAAATCCTACTTGTAAAACCTCACTTCGTTGAATAATAGCAGGTAAGAACGTACTTGTTTTTATACAAGCAAAACACTCGACTTAAAAGTATCATCCATTTTGTTTTTTTTAACTAAGTCCTCCTTGCTATTGTTTCACTGTTTAAATATCCTAAATGTGTCAGTCATTACGAAAGTGTATAGAACTTTGATTTTTTTTTCGAAATACTAAGGATTTTATACCCCATGAATAGATTACCTTAGCTTTATTTGTCAAAACCTTTCGAAATTTTGGATCGTCAATGCTCTTCAACTTCGTTCTTTGTTTGGCCTTTTTAACATTTTTTATTCGAGCGTCACTAATGTGTCTTTTGTAGACGAAACGCGCGTTTGGCGTACAAAATTTTAATCCCGGTATCTATGATGAATTTATTTCATGTGTTTGTTTACTTTTTAGGGAAAATGCAGACAGTTAAAAACGGTAAGAAATAGTACACAAACTGAAATATTATTAACAAACATACTAACATATATCATATGAATTATAAACAGCGTTCATGTAATTTAGGATGACAAAATATTACCCATTACAACCTTCTAACATGAGCAACACGACGGGTGCCATATGTGGAGCAGGATCTGCTTACCCTTCCGGAGTACCTGAGATCACCCCAGTTTTTGGTGGGGTTCGTGTTGCTCAGTCTTTTGTTTTCTATGTTGTGTTTTGTGTACTGTTGTTTGTCTGTTTGTCTTTTTCTTTCTTTCTTTTTTTAGCCATGGCGTTGTCATTTTATTTTCAATTTATGAGTTTGAATGTCCCTTTGGTACCTTTAGCCTCTCTTTTACAAAGAACACTCCTTACAATAATAACAAAATGATTATCCAAGTTTATCGATCGGTGTGAAAGAAGGACGATATGATCGAAAAGTTTCTTAACCATCAACAATTGCATGTTTACATGTATACAGTATGGTCTCAATGGTAACTCAATCAGTATGCTATCAACATGAGTTACTGGGGAAAATCAACCAATACAGCAAAAAGAGTAAACATAAAGAGATGTGGTATGATTACAAGTGAAACAACTCTCCAACAGAGCCCAAAGGACAAACAATACTGCAGTATACTTCAGTATATATACAGTATACTATTGACTTAAAAAAAAAGGCAAAGCCAAGACCGTAAAGTAGGCTATAGGCCACAGCATGACAAAATGTGAAACTGTATAAGTACATTAGTGTAAAACTACAAAGGAAAAGCATGACCATGTGCAATGGCAATATTTTAGTATCGATAGGATGTAGGATCATAGAAATAAGAAGATGTGGTATGAGTGCCAATGAGACAACTCTCCATCCAAGTCCCAATTTGTAAAAAGTAAACAATTATATGTCAAAGTACGGCCTTCAACGCGGAGCCTTGGCTCATACCGAACAGCAAGCTATAAAGGCCCGAAAATGACTAGTGTAAAACAATTCAAACAGGAAAACCAACGGTCTAATCTATATAAAAAACGAGAAACGAGAAACACTCATGAACCACATCAACAAACGACAACCACTGAACAACAGGCTCCTGACTCAGGACAGGTGCAAACAAATGCAGCGGGCCTAAACTTTTCATGCATGATAGCTAGATTTCAAAACACTTGGCCATAAGCGCACCTGCTAAAAGTTATTTCAGAAACGCATGTAGTGCGCACATACAACTCTTTTTAATTGTTTTCATTTTCATACACGTCTGTTATTTGATCCATGTCATCCTAGTCAACTCCTGACACTACTTTTGTATCCATGGTGAAAGTCTAATTTTTTAAAATAATTGTAGAGATAAGCAAATGCTTTACCTAAAACCATATTTTGCTAGAACATGTATTTTTCAACAGGTTGAATGTGTTTAAAAATGTTTTAGGTTTAAGCTCTTTCTAATATATATTTGACCAAACTACATACGCGTGAAATGGCCATTTTAGGTCAAATATGTTAAATTCGACATGTGTATGACGTCATTCAGTTACATCACAAATGGCCTTTCTGCACTACAGTTTCCAGATTAATGCAGATTGTTCATTTATAAATAAAAAACTAACATAATTTTGAAAGTGCTGAAAAATATTTACTATTCTTGCACTTTCAGCTCTTACCATTCCTCCTCCTTTCAAGGTGTATTAGTGATGATAAATCTGTTTTGCATGTAACATCATCCATTTTTTGGGGATATTAGGGAGCTACCATTTGATTTTTAGGGGGGGGGGGAGGGGGCTAAGATGAAATTTGAAAAAAGGCAGGACAGGAGTAATGAGTAAAACAGGGGCAAGATTAGCAACTTGGCAAAAAAAAAGGGCAGGATGACAATTTATGTAAAAAAAGTCAGAATAAACTAATAAAAAAAAGGCAGGACCGAATAGAGTGAATAATAAAAAGGCAGGACAGAGATTAGCGGTAAACATGTGTGCTAAAGTGAATTAATAGCGTTTAAAATTTAGAAGCAAATAACTATTTTGCAGTTTTTGTAACGCTTTCGAATACAATTCATTCAAATTTGATACTAAAAGATACAAAAATAGATTGAGATCATTCTGAGATAAGAACAGCCCTCGGCGCCCGTTTAGTATCATATGCAGATCCGTACAATGGTCACGAAGCTTATCCTTATAACATTTTATGAAAGAAGCTTTTAAACATTTAAGACTTATTCATAGAATAAACTACTGTTGTTCAAATAAAGCATCATGTACTAGTAATTTTTTGGAGATTAAACACATTTTTTATTTATGGTTTGAAACCGGATTAAATGTGAAGACCGTACTTTGACCTATAATAGTTTACTTTTATAAATTGTGACTTGGATGGAGAGTTGTCTCATTGGCACTCATACTACATCTTCTTATATCTCTTTACATTTATTATTTTTTTCTTCGTTACGATTCTGTACATATTCATGTGTCAAAGATCGTGTCTTTTAAGTTACTGTTGTATGAAATGTATTCCGAGTTTAAGCAACTGATAATAGGACGGTATGTTTAAATTTTAGCAGTTAATTAAAACTTTGATCATGCTCTCGGTACCTGCGTACGTGATTTGTTTTAAATTTTGTTTTGCTTCACTTGTGTGTTTGTTATCTATTATACATGAACCGGCACCCCAGAGTAAATTTACGTATTATGTTGTAATAACTATTATACGTTCTTTGCGTATATCTAATTATTCAACTGATCTAGATCAAAGATCTAGTAATACTATATTATTACATTGTCTATAAGGAAACTCCAACGGATCAACACGATAAGAAAGATAATATTATAAATACAATTTAATCTTATTCATGCAAGTTTGTGCAATTTATTAGGCCAAAAACTAAGGACAATTAGGTAAATATGGAACGTAATCAATCTTGACTTCAAATATCTAGGAACTTAGTATCCATCGTTTTAGTACCAACATTATTTTTAAACAATTATTTAAAACCGGAATGTCTGATTCAATTGTACTTTACGATTGATAGATAATTTGAAGTTGCAAATAGTACATGTATTTGTACGTACTACTAGACCGACAAAGCTGAGTCCTGCTGAAAACATGTCATCCTACCCCGGACATCCGACCAATTTTCTGACTGCAAGACGAACAAACTTTGTTCTTACTCCTAAATGCCTATTTTCAAGTCTTTGTATTGACCAGGTGTAGAACCTACGACCTCCCGCACTAGGGGCGAGCACGCCACCACTGGACCACCGAGATGGTTATACTTTTCGAAACATATCATTCGAAATGAGCGGAATGATAAAAATACTATTAAGTAATATCTGAAAATACTTTTTGGTCATTTAGCTATCCAACAGTTCCGGTTCTTCAACGTCCTTGACTTTCAAATACTCGGCTTTGAGTTTTCCTGATTGAGGTAAATTCAGAAAAGTGCTCAAGACGCATGCAGTTTTAACGTGTTTTGTTTTCCTCAATTTCATAGCATTCTAAAGCCAGGCACTATAACTAACATTTGTATAGCATTCTAAAGCCAGTCACTATAACTAACATTTGTATAGCATTCTAAAGCCAGGCACTATAACTAACATTTGTATAGCATTCTAAAGCCAGTCACTATAACTAACATTGTTATAGCATTCTAAAGCCAGTCACTATAACTAACATTTGTATAGCATTCTAAAGCCAGGCACTATAACTAACATTTGTATAGCATTCTAAAGCCAGGCACTATAACTAACATTTGTATAGCATTCTAAAGCCAGTCACTATAACTAACATTGTTATAGCATTCTAAAGCCAGTCACTATAACTAACATTTGTATAGCATTCTAAAGCCAGGCACTATAACTAACATTTGTATAGCATTCTAAAGCCAGGCACTATAACTAACATTTGTATAGTATTCTAAAGCCAGTCACTATAACTAACATTTTTATAGCATTCTAAAGCCCGGCACTATAACTAACATTTGTATAGCATTCTAAAGCCCGGCACTATCACTAACATTTGTATAGCATTCTTAAGCCAGGCAATATAACTAACATTTGTATAGCATTCTAAAGCTAGGCACTATAACTAACATTTGTATAGCATTCTAAAGCCAGGCACTATAACTAACATTTGTACAGCATTCTAAAGCCAGGAACTATAACTAACATTTGTATAGCATTCTAAAGCCAGGCACTATAACTAACATTTGTATAGCATTCTAAAGCCAGGCACTATAACTAACATTTGTATAGCATTCTAAAGCCAGGCACTATAACTAACATTTGTATAGCATTCTAAAGCCCGGCACTATAACTAACATTTGTATAGCATTCTAAAGCCAGGCACTATAACTAACATTTGTATAGCATTCTAAAGCCAGGCACTATAACTAACATTTGTAAAGCATTCTAAAGCCCGGCACTATAACTAACATTTGTATAGCATTCTAAAGCCAGGCACTATAACTAACATTTGTATAGCATTCTAAAGCCAGGCACTATTACTAACATTTGTATAGCATTCTAAAGCCCGGCACTATAACTAACATTTGTATAGAACAACGCGAATGTATACAGCATAACATACTCTTATCTGATTGTAGGTACCACCTTGGTTTTTATATTACTGTTTGTAAGTTTTTATTCTTTTTCGCATGGTAAGTATTATATTCTTATTCTGATGAAATAATTTCAATGGTGCAATAAAATGTAATGTTTTGCTTCAAGCAGGTTTTTCTAATAGAACTGCTGCTAAGGGAACGACTATTTGATTTCCGGGGTAGATGGAGGGGGAGGGATGAGGTGCAAGGTTTTCAGGTCACGATTGAAGGTTCATTTTCACACGTTGTTAAGCTGACTAAACAAGGAATTCCGCTCAAATCGGTGTAAGGGACCTTCTTTAACTTGCAGTGAAGTGAGGTTTTTTCTGCTCTGTGTTGATGGCCTCACTGTGACTTTGAGATGAAGAACAGCAATAAAAGCGTTGTTTCTTTGCGTTTTGTGTTTTTTGCTGTGCACAAGTCATACAGATTTTATGTCATGGATGAATTCCCCACATCCTTTTCTTTTTCAATCTTTTAATTTCACTAATGTACATAAGTATTTCCTGCATTTTGTTGAGCAAAATATGCATTTTCATCCTGTCTGATAAGATGATTTTTATAAGTTTTTACCAAGAACATTTATTTTTATAATCCTCCTTTTCCGGTCCCCCACAAGATATCAAACTGTCGTCCCGTACTCTTATATCAATAAATGAGAATTCGGGGACAAACGTTTGTGAATCATCAAACAAGCATACATATGTATATATATATACAAAATGGGTTATCCAGACAACCAAGGATTAACATATCTTTCTTCACGATGGACAAGAGGCAGCACTTTATGGCAGGCTTTTAATGGATTCTCATTATCGAAGGCCGTCAGTGATCTATCATTGCTTATATCCACGTAATTTTAACTCTGGTGGATAGTTGTCTCATCTGTAATCATATCATATCTCCTTATTTCTTTTCAATTGGTCCGTAAATGATTTCTTTTGTGTTTTACTTAACTGGGTTACTGTAATCTATACTCTAAAAACAAATAATATATCTATTCAAAAAGAAAAACTGTATTATTTTTTTTTAAAGTATAAAAAAAGTGAAGTAGAATAGGTAATATTAAAAAACATTTATAATTCATTTTGTTAGTTAGCATAATTATGTGTTCTTTCAGCCCTAAACTGCATAAAATGTACCAATGCAGAGTCGATTTCGGATTGCCGAACTGAGCGAGAGGCTGTGTGTCAGCAACCGTACGAGGTATTACTTTTAAATTTATAATTCACACATTCAATACGCAGTTGTGTATCAGTAAAATTAATAAATACTGGGCAAAATCATAAACAAGCTCAATTTAAATCCGAAATCCATATAAAAAAAACAAACCAAAACAAACCATACCAAGATATTTTGATCATTCAGTGTGTTTGTCTCGTTTGATACATCAACAAACATAGTCACCAGAGTAACAGAACTCACAACCACATGTCGCATATGTGAATATATTTACATCTGCTCTAAAGCCCCGTTCACATGCACTTATTTGCATTTGTATGCTTATAAAAAAAAAGATGTAGTATGATTGCCAATGATAAATGTATCCATCAGAGTTAAAATGACGTGGATATAAGCAATTATAAGTCATCGTACGTCCTTCAACAATGAGAAAGGCAAAAGAAAGGCCCGACATGAAAAATTGTGAAACAATTCAAACGACAAAACTAACGGTATAATTTATACAATACAATTTACGGAGAAGAAATATGACAGAAATGAACCAACGACAACCACTGAATATCTTGAGGAGGTTTTACTTGCTTTTAACCTCATTATTTTCGTTTACTTCTCTTTTTAGAGAAGTTACTGATCTATCCTTTCGCTCAAATGTGTTCATTACATTATGTTAAATAATTTTATTTAATCTCGTTCAATATACATAATAAAATAAATACTTCAAATCAAAATAAAATATTGAAATATTTAAGATTAACAAAAATGTAAATGTATTTTACCCCGCAGCAATGTTACACAGAAGTGATAATAACAGGTCTCCTGACTAGACGTTATAATGCAGGATGTCGTTCAAATCGGGTGTGTATAATTATAGAATATAGTTTTGTTTGGTCGAGTTTGATATTTGTCGAATGTTACACAGAGGTGGAAAATGTAGTTCTCCAGAAAAGACGACATAAAGCAAGATGTCGTTCCAGCCGGGAGTGTATAGTTACGAAATATCAATTCATACATAATGATAATATTTTTTCAGTCACGAATTGAATATTTTTCGATATTTGAACTCTTGTTTAGACATTCCTTTTACTACCTTTATCGTGGATGGAAAAAACAGGATTTATTTTATAGGGATATCACCATTCATCACGCCTATCTTATAACTAATAATGTATTTTATAATTATCATTAATTATATTCAATTTGATAAAAAGAAATTTACTGCTAACATTTTTTACACATGTGAACTGTTTAGGGGGGGGGGGGGGTGGAGTGAGGTGAGTCGGTGCGACTATCTTTCGTCCGAGTCCCACACACTAGGACCAGGAGAAATTACAATTTATACAAGAGAAAATAAACAGCGAATGATTTAAAATATTCGTTAAAGCGCGTTAGACTAGAATACTGACTAGACAAGAAAAACTATTAGCAACTCAATCTCAAAATTTTCCTTAATCAAAGAGTATATTGACAGATATGCAACCTTATTGCGAAGATAATGGGGAAAAGACACTCCTTGGTACAACGTGATTCTATAAGCTGTTCGGCATGCTGTTCACAAAATAATGGAGGAGGTATACCATGCAATGCAGATCTTTGTGGATTAAGTATGTATCAAATAGAATGTTTTGTTATTTAAAAAATGTCATTTACAAAGGAGGGGTCTTTTGACTGTGCTGGATGGATAAAAACGCCTTGTTGGAATGTTGATGTTAAATCGTATATCTCGTGAAACCCTGGCAAAAACTCTTTGAGAAATCGTAGGTAGCCTGTTACAATGTCATAATCCTTCCCCTAAACAATCGCCCTACATAATACCATAGGATTTCAGACCATCCATGGCTATGTATTTAACTTTCCTCATAGCCAAATGGACATCCTTCTTTACCGTTCGTTTAACTGCTGAGTGGGATGGTCATATTTCTATACACCAGTCAACCTTTGTGGTAATCTAACAAAGAAAACTAAAGATTGAGCAAACATACCCATTAAAACCGAGTGTAAACCCAACTTTCAAGAGTGTATAATTGACAAACGCTGATTGAGTAAGATAGATCGATTAAGTTTTTAAAAATGATAACAGTAAAGTACAAGATTGAAACCTGCAATAAATATCCATAACAATTTACTGTAACATTAAGCTACTAAATGGCTACAGTAACAGTAATTGAAAGCAATCACATAGTAATTCGTTCATTAGGTACAGTTCTAATGTTTCAGTATGGAACTAAAAAGTTTAAGATATACATGCCAAACTAGTTGTGCATAAATCTTATATGTTTTATTACTTTGTTCATTTGTTTCAGGTTCAACGGAAAGCTGATCAAATACCAATTGCAATGAACAACTATTCAAGTTTTAAGCATTATAGATGTACATGTAATATATGTATCGCTTGTTTATTGTGCTGTTGAATTGTGGTCGCATTAACGTATACCTCCAGTCTCTTTTTTCCTGTATGCAAAATAAAAATGTTACGTGCAATTCTACAGCAACATTGTAAGTAAGCTTGAAAAAAAGATGTGGTATACGACAAGGAGAGAGCAACACAACTAAAAAAACAAAACCAAAAGGACATTTAGAGGACATTATACACACAATTACAATCATAGACATGTGTCCGTACCTTTTGTCGAGCTCTAGACCGTTCCGAGTATACAGAGGTTGTAATAAATTTAACAGAAACAACAAAATATCGGCCATTAAAACCTACTCTCCAAAAAATGAAAACATTAAGATGTGACCTACGACAACTACTAAGGAGGTTCTTGAATTGGAAGTTGCGATAGCACATAGAGACTCAACCTATATATTATGTAAGAAAAGAAACTTGTGTGTGGGGATCTCCAGCCAAGAAACTTCTGTTTATGGTTGAGGATCTCAGCCAAGAAACTTCTGTTTAAGGAGTTGTGATCTATTTTCAAGATATTTTAACATTCTCAAATGGCAGGGGGTGGGGATGACCACTGAAAGTACTTACCCTCTATTGTTTTCAATTCATCTTGACATTTAAAAACAAGACAATATATGATGTATACGTAGGGTGGGAATTCAACCATGTTCAAGATATTCTCAATTGGTAAAGGGAGATCCCATTCTCCATATCTTTAACGGTTTTTGTGCAATCTGAATTTAGTACCTAAATAGTCATTTAATCTATCTGCCAGAAGGTAATACGGTCACATGATCATTATCGAAACACAGTGTCTCTATCATTCACTCTATCTGCCAGAAGGTAATACGGTTACATGATCATTACCGAGACACAATGTCTCTATCGTTTACTCTATCTGACAGAAGGTAATACGGTTACATGATCATTACCGAGACGCAATGTCTCCATCATTCACTCTATCTGACAGAAGGAAATACGGTTACATGATCATTACCGAGACACAATGTCTCTATCATTTACTCTATCTGCCAGAAGGTAATACGGTCACATGATCATTACAGAAACACAACGTCTCTACCATTTACTCTATCTGCCAGAAGGTAATACGGTTACATGATCATTACCGAGACACAACGTCTCTATCATTTACTCTATCTGCCAGAAGGTAATACGGTTCCATGATTATTATTGAGACACAATGTCTCTACCATTTACTCTATCTGACAGAAGGTAATACGGTTACATGATCATTATCGAGATACAACGTCTTTATCATTTACTCTATCTTCCAGAAGGTAATACGGTTACATGATCATTGCCGATACACGTCTCTATCATTTACTCTATCTGACAGAAGGTTATACGGTTACATGATCATTACCGAGACATAATGTCTCTATAATTTACTCTTCTCAAGTTATAACCATTTAAACTTGAAATAAATAATTTCCCATACGATTATATTGTACACCATACCCGATTTTGATTATTCCAAAATATGCCAAAATATACCTTTGAACGTTCAATACGGATCACATGGCTAATATTTTTTAAAGTTTTGAAAAGATTCGAATAATGGTTCCTGAGAACTGCCGCGGACAAGTTCAAGAGCGAGAAACCCGGAATAATAATACCGGTAGCAATGAGAAGAACAAGTGAACCAAAACAGTAAGTCCTCCATATTTCGTTTGGGAGACTTATTATCGTGTAGAAATTTCATCACGGTCAGTTTCGTTCCCTTTCAACGTCGCTATTTTCAAGCAAACAACTGAACTAATGCGACAAAAACAGGGCAGGGGGTCTGGAGGAGGAGGTGTAAGACAGCACACATTATTTTAATGTAACACACGCGTTTCTACAAAGATCTGATTAATTTTATTTTTATTTTGATAATTTAAAAAAAAAAGAATTGTCTTTCTTTTAACGTCCATAAGCTAGTTTCAGACATCATACTACATACTGTATAATTGTTAGCAACAATTATTTCTGGTTACCTACCTATTAAAAGAACATCAATTACAATTTAAATCTAAATAACCTCTTTTGAGTTTGATTGGTTTATTTCATAGCGCCTCTGTCCATCGCGAACTTTATATTGATTGCAGTTCTCTGTTTAGACCCGTGATGACGTACAACTTGACATATGATACATACACGTGTCTGTTGTGGAGGCACGTTATATTGACCTAGCTCTACATGGCTTTTGTTTGTTTGTTTTTTTTATTGTTTCTGGCTCTTGACTCTTAGCCATTTCTTTCTGAATATTATAAATTAAGTAGATGTGGTATGATTACAAAGTGATTTAGATACAGGTCACCGTACGGCCTTCAACACCGAGCAAACCCATACCGTTAGACAGGTATAAAAGACCCCGACATGACAAAGCATGACACAATTTAAACGATTTATGACAAAACAACTATAAAAGAAAAACAAATTGACAGACAGCAACCAAAGCCAAACACTGCAGAATGTGACGGGGTTAAACATATTTGAACTAGTTTTCAGTATATAACTGCGAGTGCGCTTGTGTCGGTGCCTTGTGTTTATTGTTTATATGTTGATTGTTTAATGTTGTGCCTCGTTCCGATCTTTTGAGTTAATCAAATTGCAACTGATTTTTACAGTTTGTTATTATCTTGTTCTGTTGCACTACTGTCCTATGTAAAGAGGAGGGTCGAGTTCTTACAAACATGTTTAACCCCGCCACATTCCTTATGCGACGGTCCAAAGTTAGGAGCCTATAGTTCAGCAATTGTCGTTTGATCATGTCTGTCGTGTTTGCTTTTCGTAAATTGTTTTGTTATATATTAGGCTGTTAGTATTTTCGTTTGAATTGTTTCACATTTTTCATGTCGGGGTCTTTTAAAGCCGACTTTACGGTATAGCTTTTCTCGTTGTTGAAGGCCGTATGGTGGCCTATAAATGCCATTTTTATATAATTAATATAAATTTTCTGTTGTCTCATTGGCTAAACGCATAGGAAATCCTCTTTGTTAAAACATTATATTCCCCGCGGCAAAAATCACGAGAGAATAATATAAGATTTGGAACAGCGTCCAAGTGCCTAAAAATAAATATTCCAAGGAAACGTCAATGACGTAGGTTAAACGTCATGTAAATTCCCGTTTTTTTTTCCTTTTTCTTGTTTTTTTCTTGTTTTTGGTGAATTTTTATTTTTTGAGCAAACTTTATTGGATATTTCAAATTAAGCAAATTAGCAGCTGTAAAAGCAGATAATATATTTTGTATAAAAACAGAGAGCAATTTTTAAAAGTATCTTGAGCAAATACTTGAAAATTAGACAAGGATAAAAAATCATATAATAAAACAATTGTTGACTTTTGATTTCAGTTGATACAATGATTTATCAACCCCAGAGATATGACATTCACCCGCGGCCGTTGGCCTCGGTGAATATCATATCTCGGTGGCTGAACCAAATTATAAGCCTGGTATCTTTGATGAGTTTTACAAAGTATACGAACTTTATCCAAATTCCCCAATACGAAAAAAATCAAAAAGAAAAGTTGTCAAGTATCTGTCTTAAAATTACTCAAATATTACCAAAATCTGTCAAAATTACGGTTGTTCGAGATGTATATGTTCAGGAATGTATAACTTGGGTTTAATTATAAATGAGTCTTTATATTTTAGGAACCCTGAAAGTACACACATGGAGCTGTGATATTGTGAATTAAAGTAAAGATTGAAAAACGATTTGAAAATGGCCCCGGCGTGTATTAAATTCCGGGTAAATTATCCCTAACTCTTTATGTCAATTAGGGTGACACGAACTTACCTATGTTTAAATCTCGTCAATCAATAAGGAAGAAATAAATCTAAGTGACAAAAAAAAAAACCAAGGGAATGACATGAACTCCAAATGAGCTATACCAGGTAGATCGACATTGTCTAAGTCTCCTGCTATGTATGCATCACCCGCCACGCCAATTCACACTCAGTCAAAATGACACAATCGGGAAAAGGACACAACCGGATATATGACAAGATCAGACAACTCTATATAAATGTTTTTTAAAATACGCAACTATCTACTAGCCAGTTTTAAACAGACACGAACTTTTCTCGTATAATAATGTTTGTTCCAAAAATCACATCGCAAAATTGCTAACGCTTTCAATCTAATTAAAATGTAGATCTTTGATTTCATATGACTGCACGAACACGCGAGTTAAGATGGATCTTAATTTTAATCAGATTGCTCACACATGATTACAGACCTTGACCTTAACTGACGGACCTGGAGTTATTTGTGTAAAAGCAACTGTAAATTGGTGTTTACTTAAGGTTGTTGATTGATTCATGATTCTCAGTAAAATTTGATTGGATGCTTTGTATCAGTATTTTCTATGATCAAAGATTGACAGTTCTCTCGTCGGTCATGAGAATCAAATCAAGAAACAATATGTTTGTTTAATGATATTTAAGATTTCGAAAACAAGTTCATCATACAAAGTTTATGGATACAAAGGATAACCCAACTCAAGGTAAAAGATTTTTTTCTACATTTATACAAAGCTTTTTTTTGAAGTTTTAAATACAGTACAATGTACTTGTAAATAAGTAAACTTCATTGGAAAATTTACCATACTAATGATTTACTATTATAATATTCACGAATTTTAATCTAAAATCGCCATATAACGTTGTTGCCAATAAAAAAGTTGTCTTTCTAATTTCTCCTGTCGCCAAAATTTAACAATCGGTCAGTGGAAGCTATGTTAGCGTCCCCTGATATTGTGTTACCGACAATTATGCCAGATCCAATTTGCTAGGTTAAAATGCTTTATCATGTCCCATGGTTGTATACAAGACTGTGATAATAGTGTCTGATCATTGTGTTCTGCAGAAGGGACTGGCGATGGTTATATCTAATTGATGAATACAAAATTTGCAGAACAAATTGATAGATGCATTATAAAAATGAACAACATAGTTGACAAAATACATATTGAAATATATCATTGAATTGATGTGATCTCAGTGTCAAAAGATAGTAAATATAAATAAATAAAAGAAAATCAATCAAAATGGATTTTTCATAATAATATATCTCTGTTCAAATGATAT